TCCCTAAGCAGCAACTCTAGATTAAAACATCTCAAATAGAAATGATGGAGGGAGGAAACAGCTAGTGAAAAGCTCCTCAGGAAATAAGAACCAGTATCCAGATTATGAGATTTAAGTAGGCATTTTGATAGTTTTTCTGGTTACATGAAAAAAAAAGATTTCTTTTCTAATAGTTTATTACATTTGTAGTTACTGATTTAAGGTTAAAGATAACAGAATGCTAGTTTTCCTCCCTTTCTTTTACCTTTACTACACACATAATTATGCTGAACAAACAATAATTTTTCTCTGTTCATATTTTTATTTCTGCCTCACACATAACTTCATAACTGGGTAGTCTGAAATCTCTGTACTCTGGCTGAAAATTTTGATTTACCAATCTTGTCCTTTTTATTTAAGAACCACTAAAACCCCTTCTCATTAATTTGGCCATTTAAATAAATAAATTTTAAAAATTAACTACAAACTTCTTCAGAAAACTTCTACACTGTCAGTATATACTAACAATAAGAACTTAGAAATGTTTGATACTGCTACAAATAGCAAGTCTAGTGAATGAGAAGATTTTATTAAACCATAAGTGTGATATCCTCTGTAAATCTATGCCCAGTGAATGATTTCTTAGTAATTATTCTTGTTATCATTTAGATCACTGGTTCTCAAATTTTCAATCTCAGGACCTCTTTACAATCCTAAAAATCGAGAATCCTAAAAAACTTTTGTGTGAGTTATTTCTATCAGTATTTACTAAATTAGAAATTAAAAGAGAAATCTTTAAAATATTTATTCATTTAAAAAATAATAAACCCTTTACATGTTAACATATTTTTGTGAAAAATAATTGTATTTTAAAAAAATTACTTAGAAAAAAGAGTAGCACTATTTAATTTTTTTTTTGCAAATCTCTTCAATGTTTTACTTAATAGAAGACAGCTGTATTCTCATACCTGTTTCTGCATTCATTTTGCGGATAGCCTTCTTTGATGTTACACCAAAACCTGATACATACCTGGTAGTTTCTTTCCTTTTTTTTTTTTTTTTTTTGGAGGTTTTTTGCTATAGGGCGCGTGCACTCGCCAGACAGACAGAGAGAGACATAGAGACAGAAAGCAAGAAATAACCCCCCAGTGGGGATGGCCACGCCTCAATCCCTTCTCCTCCATTTGGAATCTTGGGCACGCATGCACACACGCCTGGCGTGAGTTTAAGCCACTAGGTCTGGGACTCAAACCGCAGCTGGCTACGTGGAAGTTCAGCAACATAGCCATTACACTAACTGCTGGTCCTGATACACGGTAGTTTCTTAAATGTTAGTTGCAACAGAATCTGAAACCATATCGACGAACCTTTCCTACTTTTGTAATAACACAATTCACTGATTTACCTTGTACTTTGAATATATTTTTAAGGCACATGTGATTTTTAAAAAAATGCATTAATCGTTTGGGAAAGACTGGCTCAGAGTTATGCAGATCTTCCAAATGGTAAAATATTTCATTGTAAAATGTATTTTTAAAAAATCACATTTGGGGGGACAGCAGGAGGCATGGTGGTTAAGGCACTGAACTCCCACATGACTGACCATGGTCACATCTTGGACAGGGCAACTTGCTTTCTCACATTCTCTGTCTCTTCCTCTCTGGTGAGTGCACATGCCCTATAACAAAATTTTAAGAATAATAAAAAATAAAATTAAGGGGCCAGCAGGTTGCATGGTAGTTAAAAGCACTGGATTCCCTCATGGCTGATCACAATTCATGTCCCAAACCTAGCAGCTTGCTTTCTCACTTTCCCTTTCTCTCTGGTCAAATTAAATAATAATAATAATAACAATCAATAATAACAACAAATGGAACTAAACAAATAATTCTTTAAAATAAATTAAAATAATTAAAGAATTATTTATTTAATTTTATTTGTCGTTATTATTTTTAAATTTGACCAGAGAGAAAGGGAAAGTGAGAAAGCAAGCTATCAGGTTTAGGATTCAAACCATGGTTGACCGTGTGGGAGTCTAGACCCTCAACCGCCACCTGCCAATCTCTGAAAAATCACTTTTTGTAATATGAATATCAATCTCATTAGAAAAGCCTTTGATCAAATGGTAGCAGGTAAGTTTTATGGAATTTTATTTAATAATTGCCACTTGAAAGTTTTAATTTTAGCACTGACAAAAATTTGTCAGTTTCCTTTAAACAACCAGCTCATTAAAAAAAAAAAAAAAAAAAAAGTATGCCAAATACATAAGTCTGAATAACCATATGATTCAGTCATTCTTACAAGTAAAAATGGTTTTCTATTTTTAAAAGAGCAGCTAGTTGGGGCCAATAGGTAGCATGGTGGATTAGGTGCTAGACTCCCAGATGGCCAACTGTGGTTCCAAACCTGAATCCAGTGGTTTGAAACTCATGATGGGCATGGGTGCGTACATGTCCAAAATCCCAAGAGAAGAATGGAGGAGAAGGGACTGTGGTGTGGGTACACCCCATGAAGGGGTTGATTTCTCAGTTTTCCTCTCTCTCTCTGTCTCCTGCAAGCACATTTGCCCCATGGTACAAACCTAAAAAACAAAAAACAAAAAAACAAAAATGCAGCTAGCTTAGCTCACAGTGAACTCAATCGCACAAGTTCTTTTTCTCAAGACAACCATAAGCTAGTGTGCCACAGAAATGCACTTCCCATTTCATCACTGAATATGAAAAAGATATATACACACAAATGTTGAAATGTAGTATTAGTAAATTTTACTGCTTTCAAGGGCATTTTTCTTTAGACATTTCTCCTATAGGATGTGTGTACTCGCCAAAGAGACAGAGAGACAGAAAGAGAGAAATCATCCCCCCCCCCAGCATGGCTACACTGCGATCCCTTTTCCATTCTCTTGGGATTTTGGGAATGCACACAAACATGCCCACAATGAGTTTCAAGTTTCCAGGTTTTGGACTCCAACTGCTGTTGACCACATGGTAGTCCAGCGCCTTAACCATTACATCACCTGCTGGCCCTAAGGACGTTAAATGAAACTGGATTTCTTCTTTTCCTTTTTTTCTTTTATAACTATGAATACACGGTGTTGAAGAATACAAAGAATACATACTACTAGCATGCTTTGATGCCCTTCCTTGATTTGGGCTAAAGCTCGAACAGTTTTACCCACCACTGCTTTTGTACCATCTGAGCAAATGTCAACACAGTGAAAAAGGAAAATAACATCTTGGTATTACTATGCAAATTGTTTTGACCTTGCTGACACTTCTATAAAAGGGTCTGGAAGACCCCAGTGGTACACATTACCATATGTTGAGAACTGCTGATTCAGTCTGTCATTTGCCATAAATTTACTATAATTTACTAACAAAGATGAGGTATTAGTTTCCTAAAAGGCTATCACTAATTTGAGTCTAAATATTAATGTTCATACTATTTTCCACATTTCACTTGGCCTGAAGAAATTATCAAGTGACACACAAATTTCACTACAAAATAAGAAATAGATTGTCTTTTACCTAAAGTGGGCATCTCACAATCTTTATTCTCCTTAGTATTCCTTTTAACATATTTTATCAACCAGTTGAAAATGTGAACGTCACAATGAACTGAAATGTCCACCTCTTCCCAGCGCTGGGCATCCATAGATAAATATTCAGCAAAGTACTTCATTTCTGATATCAAAAGATCTCGTGGGCAAATAAAATCTTCTTTCAAGTTTTTTGCTTCATCACATACATGGATCACCATGTTTGGCCTTTATAAAAAATGTTACACAGAAATGAAATCATTAGAGTTTTAGAAGAAGAGCCAAGAATACAGACATTTATTGGAGGTTTTTTTGAAAATTTTTTACTACAAAATCAATTTTAGAGGATTTTGACATTCAGAATTTTCCAAGTGTCTTGCTAACTTGACTATATCTTAAATTATGACTAATTTTAGCATGCTATTGACTTAACAAAAATACTGTTACTAAAATGTTAATAATTTGCATGGTTTAAAATTTAATTTTTCAAGTTATACATTAAATAAAGTTTATAAATATAGTGATTCACAAAGATAAACTAAGTAACAGTCTTGTGAGAAACATAAAACAACACTTCTATTTAGTTATGAGTCTGAGAGAAAGATAATGATTAAACACTGTACTAAAATGTTCACGCTTTTTAAAATAGGAAAATACTAATACTAAAATTATTCATTAAAAAATCAAATGAAAAATTAGTATGGCTTACTTTGTTTTTTTAATTGCCAGAGGATGTATGCACTCACCAGAAAGAGACAGAAAAAAGAGGGAGAAAGCATGTCCTGATGGTGCAGTCATGCTGCAATTCCTTCTCCAACTTCCCACCCTGTCAGGATTTGGGGTATACATGCACATGCACCTGGGGTGTTCTTTAAGCTGCCAGGGATAGGACAATGAGTTTCAAGTTTCCAGGTTTTGGACTCCAACTGCTGTTGACCACATGGTAGTCCAGCGCCTTAACCATTACATCACCTGCTGGCCCTAAGGACGTTAAATGAAACTGGATTTCTTCTTTTCCTTTTTTTCTTTTATAACTATGAATACACGGTGTTGAAGAATACAAAGAATACATACTACTAGCATGCTTTGATGCCCTTCCTTGATTTGGGCTAAAGCTCGAACAGTTTTACCCACCACTGCTTTTGTACCATCTGAGCAAATGTCAACACAGTGAAAAAGGAAAATAACATCTTGGTATTACTATGCAAATTGTTTTGACCTTGCTGACACTTCTATAAAAGGGTCTGGAAGACCCCAGTGGTACACATTACCATATGTTGAGAACTGCTGATTCAGTCTGTCATTTGCCATAAATTTACTATAATTTACTAACAAAGATGAGGTATTAGTTTCCTAAAAGGCTATCACTAATTTGAGTCTAAATATTAATGTTCATACTATTTTCCACATTTCACTTGGCCTGAAGAAATTATCAAGTGACACACAAATTTCACTACAAAATAAGAAATAGATTGTCTTTTACCTAAAGTGGGCATCTCACAATCTTTATTCTCCTTAGTATTCCTTTTAACATATTTTATCAACCAGTTGAAAATGTGAACGTCACAATGAACTGAAATGTCCACCTCTTCCCAGCGCTGGGCATCCATAGATAAATATTCAGCAAAGTACTTCATTTCTGATATCAAAAGATCTCGTGGGCAAATAAAATCTTCTTTCAAGTTTTTTGCTTCATCACATACATGGATCACCATGTTTGGCCTTTATAAAAAATGTTACACAGAAATGAAATCATTAGAGTTTTAGAAGAAGAGCCAAGAATACAGACATTTATTGGAGGTTTTTTTGAAAATTTTTTACTACAAAATCAATTTTAGAGGATTTTGACATTCAGAATTTTCCAAGTGTCTTGCTAACTTGACTATATCTTAAATTATGACTAATTTTAGCATGCTATTGACTTAACAAAAATACTGTTACTAAAATGTTAATAATTTGCATGGTTTAAAATTTAATTTTTCAAGTTATACATTAAATAAAGTTTATAAATATAGTGATTCACAAAGATAAACTAAGTAACAGTCTTGTGAGAAACATAAAACAACACTTCTATTTAGTTATGAGTCTGAGAGAAAGATAATGATTAAACACTGTACTAAAATGTTCACGCTTTTTAAAATAGGAAAATACTAATACTAAAATTATTCATTAAAAAATCAAATGAAAAATTAGTATGGCTTACTTTGTTTTTTTAATTGCCAGAGGATGTATGCACTCACCAGAAAGAGACAGAAAAAAGAGGGAGAAAGCATGTCCTGATGGTGCAGTCATGCTGCAATTCCTTCTCCAACTTCCCACCCTGTCAGGATTTGGGGTATACATGCACATGCACCTGGGGTGTTCTTTAAGCTGCCAGGGATAGGACTTGAACCACAGTTGGCCATGTGAGATTTGACTTCCCCAGCCACCAGGCTATGGGGCCAGTGCCTTAGTCATTTTTAATGGCAAGAAAATTTGCTTCTAGGCATTCATTAATATAAACTAATAAATACAGGTAAAGGTTTCTTAAGAGTATACTCACAATTATGAGTCTTACATTTTTTTTGGGGGGAGAGATTTTTGCTATAGGGCACGTGCCCTCACCAGAAAGACAGAGAGAGACAGAAAGACAGAAAGTGAGAAATCACCCCCCAGGGGGGATGGCCACACCACAATCCCTTCTCCTCCATTCTCCTCTCGGGCTCCTGGCCATGCTCACACACGCACCCAGCATGAGTTTAAGCCACCAGGTCTGGGCCTCGAACCATGGTCAGCTACATAGGAGTCCAGCGACACAGCCATTACGCTAACCGCTGGTCCCAAGTCTTACATATTTTTAAAGGAAGATGTTTAGATGATGCATCAGAACGTTTGCTTCAAAAATTATATTCTAGTTTAATTTACCTTCTTTGAATATTATATCACCTCAAAAAGAAACAGCAGGGACCAGCTAGTGGCATGGTGGTGAGGTGGCTGGATCTCACATGGCCGACTAAGTAGTTCAAATTCCAGACCCAACAGCTTGAGAAACATGCTGGGTATGTGGGTCTGCCCAAAATCTCAAAAGAAGGGAGAAAAGGAGAAGGGATTGCGGTGTGATTATGTCCCATGAGGGGTGCTTTTGCACATCCACCAATAGCACACGTGTCCTATGGCAAATTAAAAAAAGAAAAAACAGAAACATCAGTGTGATCCACATCTGCCTTCGTGTCATGACAAAAGGAAGATAATAAATTGGAAGAGACATGCTGTCCTAGAACATAAATTTATTATGTGTAACTGAACTTCACTAATTAGAAAAAGTATTATCATCAATGCTTTATCAAAGTCAAAAAATTCAAGTAACTTTTTACAAACTGTTCTTCTAAAAAAATACGGTCAGAACATAAACAAGTAATAACCAGTGTAATGAAAAGTAAAGTTGCTGTGACTTTTCACACTATAGGATGAAATATGAGATAATTTCAGTAAAAAAATTATTTGGCAATTTTTGTTACATAAACAAGCCTATCAATTAAAAAAAATTCTCTTGTGAATAAACCAAAGTCATTGAACTGTACACTTCAAAAGGGTGAATGTTTTTCTGTTGTGGAAAAAAGTATATACCGTAAAACTTATTTTAACCACTGGTAAGTGTTCATTCAGGTCAGTGGTATTAAGTATTAATTTAGTCACATTATTGTGTAATTATCACCACCATCTACCGCCAGAACTTTTTCAAGAAGATAAATTTCATGGTATGTGAATGATATATTAATAAAGTTGTTTAAAAAAACATTAAAACTGGGGCCAGCAGGAGATGTGACGGTTAAGGCACTATATTTCCACATAGCTGACTGCAGTTCAAATCCTGGACCTGGTGACTTGAAAATAATGCCAGGTACGTGTGTATGCCCAAAATCCTAAGAGGAGAGTGGAGGAGAAGGGACTGTGACATGGCCATCTCCCCAACCCCCGCCCAGAGACGGGGCTCTCACTTGCTCTCTCTCTGTGGCAAGTACCCATACCTCAAGACATAAAACAAAACAATACAAAACAAAAAAACCTTAAAACAAAAATCCATGAAAACTAAATGTGGGCAAAAGAACTTTCAGAAATGCTAAAAATAAATTGTATACATGATTTTGGGTGATGGCTATATGGTACACTCATCTTTCATACTCATCAAAGTGAACACTTTTAATATGTGCAGTTTATTGTATATGAAATAGGCATAATAAAACCAGCCTATCAAAACTTACAATATCTTAGAAGACACATTCTAATTTTTAAATTTAATTGGCTATGGTGCACGTGCTCACTGGAGAAAGACAAGAGAAAGAGAGAAAGTGAGAAAGGACCTTCCAGCAGAAATGGTCATGTCCTCCTCCCATTTCCTCCATTCTCCTCTCAAGATTTTGGACATATACACACACACACATCCCAGTGTGTTTTCAAGTCACCAGGTTCAGGAATCAAACTATTTGGATGGCCATGTGGGATCCAGCTGCCTTAACCACCACACCTCTGGCTGACTCAAAGCATATACTAATTTTTAAATGTTTCTATAATGAATAATTACATTCAAATAATTTAAAAAATATCTAGTTTCTTTAATAAAGTCAGAGAAATAATGGCATAGATTTTTGGGTATTAAATTTTACTTTTTTTTTTTTTTTGGAGAGATTTTTACTATAGGATATGTGCACTCATCAGAGAGAAAGTGAGAATTCACCCCCTAGGAGGATGACCACACTGCAATCCCTCCTCCTCTATTCTCTCAGAGTTCTGGGTACGCACACACACACACACCTGACTTGCATTTCAAGCTGACAGGTCCAGGACTTGAACTGAAGTCAGCCCTGTGGGAGTCCACCACTTTACCTACTACACCACCTGCTGGCCGCAAAAATTCACTTTTCAAAGTATTACATTAATAGATTTTATTTTGAATATTTACAAATATAAAGTGGATTTTTAAAGGTGGAAAATAGTAGCTCAATTTATAAATAACAACATGAGTAAGCCATATGTTTAGAAGTAAGCAACTGTTTATAGTTCAATATATGAACTAGGTTGATTTCAATCATTTCAGCAATTATGTAATGTGAAATTCTTAAATTATAGAAATTGATGTACATGATCACATGTCATATATTTTACAACTTAAAGTTAATATTAAACCTTATCTAGCAAACAACCAGCCTCCTACCCTTCAGATTCTTCAGTCTTTTCTCCACCATTACGTGCAGTACAATTTTCACTTTCTGAAGAACAATTCCTTGTGGAAGCTAGACTATGTCTTCCTTAAATACAGAAACAAACACATACGGAAAAAGGGGGGAGTTAGTGTTTCCAGCTGAGACTGGATTTTTACTTATTGAATGGTAATAATTGTAAATGCATGATTTCTAAGGTTGGTTAAAATGGTACTTGTTAGATGGCATTTTCCCTTAAAAGATATATGGAAGAAACAGTACCAAAAAACAGACTGCAAATTGCTAAGGTTACAATGAGGATTTCAAAAAGTACTGAAGTGCTGTAGACAAACAGGGCTCAAATAGTCAAAAGCCAACGACATAGTTTTCTCTTCCTGAAACTACTTTTTTTTTTTTTTTTTTAAAAAAAAAGAGTTTTCTGCTTTAGGGCCTGTGCTCTTGCTGGAGAAAGAAAGAGACAGTGAGAGGGAAAGTAAGAAATCACCCCTCCGGGGCTGGGCATGCTGCAATCCCTTCTCCTCCTGGGATCTTGGGCATGCATGCACACACATTTATTGTGAGTTTCAAGCCACCAGGTCTAGGATTCAAACTGTGGTCAGCCAAGTCGGAGTCCAGCAATGTAACCACTAGGCCTTCTAATGGCCCAAAGTTTTATATCAATACTCTGCTGTTACTAGGATATAACTCACTACACTCTGAGTTTTAAAAAGTTATTATTTCAAAAAAAAAAAAGTTTTTATTTCTAATTTAATTGGAGAAAACATCTGTTCTTCCTTCCTATGTGTCATTTGACACTCTTGTTGACAACAATAAAGAATAGCTATGAAAAAGATAATGTGAGAGACAAGCAAGATTTCTTCAGAAAAAAAATAAAAGTGTGTAAGTCAAATCTCTTTTAAATAAGCTAAAAGAGGGGCCAGCATGTGGTATGGTGGTTAAGGACACTGGACTCCCAAATGGCTGACCCGATTTGAGTCCCAGACCTGGCAGTTTGCTTTCTCACTTTCTTTCTCTCTCTCCCCGCTTCCCTCTGTCCCTCTCTGGTCAAATTTAAATAAAAAAATAAAGTTAGATAAAATAATTCTTTAAAAAGATAAAAGAGGGAACCAGCAGTTAGCGTAATGGCTATGTCGCTGGACTCCCACGTAGTCGACCGCGGTTCGTGTCCCGGACCCGGTGGCTTAAAACTCACGCCGGGTGCGCGTGTGTGCGTGCCCAAGATCCCGAGAGGAGAGTGGAGGAGAAGGGATTGCGGCATGACCATCCCCCCAGGGGGTGATTTCTCGCTTTCTGTCTCTATGCCTCTCTCTGTCTCTCTGGCAAGCGCACGCGCCCTATAGCACAAACCTCTCCAAAAAAAAAAAAAAAAGGATAAAAGAATATTCACAGTAAATAATAAATAATATATTAAATAACTAGGCTAACAGATTAGTAAAGGAAATCTTGATAAACTTTTTTACTGGTAATAGCTTTTGATCTACCTACTAATACTTAAAACTATTTTTTAAACATAGCCAAGACAAATACAATTTTTAAAATTTGGGAAGATATACATACTAACAGATTTTTCTATTAGTGTTTACATTAGCCTTTAAACAAAGAAAGAAACTTGGTTGGAATGCATACTATTTTGCAGTAAGACAAATACTGTGTTTTATTTTAAATCTTTACCTGTTAGGGAACTGGCATCCTGACCAGCTGGAGTCTCCTGAAATTCTCCGTGTGTGTCAAGAAGCGAGGCTTTGATATATGTGGCTAATGTTTCAACAGGACTCTCTCCAGCAGCCATTAGGGGATTATACTGATTGTCAACAGGTGAGCTTCCACTGCTCTTCAGTTCATCAAACCTTTTTGCACACTGTCATGAAATAAAATGAAAGAAGCAAAGGTTTGGAATTTTTCTTTTTTTAAAAAAAAATTTGGCAGAAGCACATGCTTTCACCAGAGAAAGCCAGACACAAAGAGAGAGAAGGTGAGACAGCACTTCTTATGCAGGATGGTCATGCTGCAAACCCTTCTCCATTTCTTCCACCTTTAGGGGTTTTAGGCATGCACGCGCAAGTGCCTGTTGTGTTTTTCAAGCTGAAGGGTCTGGGTACCACATAGTTGGCCTGTGGAATCCAGTTACTTTAACCACTGTGCCATTGGCTGGTCCAAATTTAGGGATTTAAAAAAAAAAATTCTTGCCCTCTATTTAAAGAGTTTTTGTTTAAAATAATTATTTATTTAATTTTGTGTTTATTTATTTATTTATTTATTTTAATTTGACCATGGAGACACACAGAGAGAGAGAGAAAGAGGGAAAGTGAGAAAGCAAGCCACCAGGTCCAGGACTCGAACCATGGTCAGCCATGTGGGAATGTCCAGTGCCTTAACCACCATGCCACCTGCTGGCCCCTAAAGATTTTTTTTTTAATAATCTTTCTTTGTAACTGAATATTAATCTGTTGAGTAACATCTAGAAAATTTGTACATGTTTCAATATACAAAACCTCTGACTCACTTTTTTCTCTCTCAAAATTTAGGATAAAATATTATTAAAAATTTTAATTGAAAGGCATGTGTTTATGCCCTTGTAGAAAATGAAGAGTGTCTTGGGAACCAGCAGTTAGCATAATGGCTATGTCGCTGGACTCCCACGTAGTCGACCGCGGTTCGCGTCCCAGACCCAGTGGCTTAAAACTCATGCCGGGCACGTGTGTGTGCATGCCCAAGGTCCCAAGAGGAGAATGGAGGAGAAGGGATTGCAGCGTGACCATCCCCTCTGGGGGGGTGATTTCTCGCTTTCTGTCTCTATGTCTCTCTCTCTGTCTGGCGAGCACATGTGCCCTATAGCAAAAACCTCTCAAATAAAAAAGAAAAAAGAAAAAAAAAAAGAAGAGTGTCTTAATCAATCATATTTCCCTTTGGTCTTTATCTATTATCAGCTGATAATTAAAAATTTTTAGAAGTTTTTGCCTTAGAGTATGCTTGCCCGAGACAAAGGGGAAGAGAGGGAGAGAGAGAGAGAAAGAGAGAGAGAAACAGAGACAGTGAGAGGGAAAGTAAGAAATCACCCCCCTGGGGGGATGGCTACACTGTAATCCCTTCTCCTCCATTCTCCTCCTGGGATTTTAGGCATGCTGTATACACACACAATATGAGTTTCAAGCCACCAGCTCCAGGACTCAAACTGTGGTCAGCCATGTGGGAGTCCAACAACATAACTGCTATGCAATCTGCTGGCCCCAATAATTTTAATTATTTAATGAGGAACAGGGTCTTTATTCTCATATTATATGAATTTCCACCAGGAATAAGATTGAATTCTTCTTTTTTTTTTTTGAGAAATTTCTGCTATAGGGCACATGTTGTCACTGGAAACACAGAAAGACAGAAAACAAGAAATCACCCCCCACAGAGGGATGGCAATACTGCAATCCCTTTTCCTCCATTCTCTTCTTGGGATTTTGGGCACACATACATGCACCTGGCATGAGTTTTAAGCCACCTGGTCCAGGACTCAAACCATGGTCAACTACCTAAGAGTCCAGTGATGTAACCATTATGCCATCTGCTGGTCCTGCAAATTCTTATTTTCTTATTTTCCCCCTCTACCTGACACCATATATAAAGATTAATTCAAAGTACATCAAAACTAAAATATAGAACTAAGTATAAAACTCTTAAAAGAAAAACATAGCATAAATCTTTGTAATCTTAAACTTAGGACTTATGTAATAAAATTTTATGTGTATCATTATAAGCAGAAGCAACAAAAAAAAATTAGAGAAATTGGACTTTATCAAAATTAAAAACTGCTTCAAAGAACACCATTGGGATACAATATGCTAAGTGAAAGAAGCCAGCAGCAAAACAGTATGTTTGTTATTTGTATACTTTATGGGCTGGCCCCACAACTTAGTGCTTAAGGGAGCCAGATTCCACATGCCCGAATGCATTTTGAGTCCCGGCACTGGTGGTCTAAAAAACAGGCTGGGCATGTGTGCATGCATGCCCTAAATCTCCGTAGAATGGAAAAATGGAGGAAAAGGAATTGTGGCATGACCTCACACCACTGGGCATGAGGCTACTGATACACAGGACTGATGTAATTTTCAAGCTGCTAGGTTTGGGACTTGAACCATGGTTGGCCACATGGGAGTCCAGTACCTTAACTACCATGCCACCTGCTGGCCCCAGATTTTAATTTTTTGAAGTTTATTTCCTGAGAGAAAGAAAGAGCAGAGAGAGACATACACAGAGACAAAGACACAGGCACCCTCATCAGGGACTGCACATCACTGTCTTCCCTTAGTCCTGTAGTGAGCCAGGATCATGGGTGTGCCTGGTGTGTTGAAGCAGACCAGAGATGTGAACCTGGAGCCTTCCTACATGATCCCTAGTATCATGCAGCAGTACCCCAAATGCCTGTGCCACGATGGCCAGGCTGACATGGACACTTCTACTGCTTAAATTAAGATATTATTAGTGACTCTCCACTTGTTGTAAGCATGTAAGATGAGGCTGAGTTTAAATATATCATGTGATTTAATACATAATTTATATAGTTTGTGTCTGGTAAAATCATATAGGTATATAGATAGTGTTAATACAGGCATACACATATTTTCTCTCTCTCAGTTGCTGTTCCTTTATAGATGAGTATAGTGTTAACATGTGCATACAAATATGTCAGACAAGTATTTTCTCTTAGCTGCTGTTCCTATATACTGGTTACTTTTTCTGATTTTTTCAGACGCTATGTGGGGTGGTGGGGGGAGGGTGGCACGCTGTTACTTACGTCCTTGGGTGTTAATCCAGGCACGAGCCTTGCTATGGTTTCCCAGTTGATGGTCTGAGGGATGCCAATTAGTGGATAAAGGATCATGTCCAGCACCATTTGGTTATTATTGTTGAGGAAATTGTTGTTTTCTGAATATCCACGACTCATCTTTTGGAACTAGGAATGGGAAAGAGGACAAAGAGCTTTATTTATATCTGAAATCAAAATGTTTTCAGAATGATATGGAGCAGCTGTAATTCATTCCTAAAAATTATCTACTATGTAAACATAAAACTGACCTAAACAAAATTTTCAGCTCAAATCCCTTCAAATAAAAAAGCATTTGAATATTACGGATTGACAAATGAATGCATAGGAAGATGGACAGATGTGTAAAAATATTAAAGCATAATAAAACAGGGAAGACACCTTCATGGCTCCTGAGAACTAGTGATTTCAGGAGAAAAAGAGAAATGAAGATTTTCTACTGATAATTTAGCCTCCAGCCCACAAACTCAAGTGGGATCAAAACAGAATGGCAAAGAGATTCCAGATCACCTCTTTCTGCTCACTCCTCTTTCTGCTCACTCTGAACGTTCAGATTGACCTTTAAGTTTAGGAAGAAACACATCATCCATCAGATGACTAGAAATCACCACAGAGCCACAAGAAATAAGCAAGAAAATACCTCTCCTCCAAGGGAAAAGAATAGCTCCTCTTCATTCACAGACAGTTCAATGAAAATCATAGAAATGTCTGATAAAGAATTTAGCATATTCATAATGGCAAAGCTAACAGAGATGGAAGAGAAGAGAGACAATGAACTACGGAAGAGAAAGGAGGAGATGACGAGTTCCAGGAGGTGAGGAAATTCTTACAAGATCTAAAAGAGGAATTACACACTTTAAAAAGAATCAAATGAAGGCCACAATACAGGAAGTCAAAATCTCCCTTGAAAGTATTAAAAGCAGACTAGATCATACAGAAATCTCAGATGTAGAAGAGCAAATTGCTGGCCTAGAAAAATCCACCACAAAGACTGAGTAAATTGCCCCTCCAAAATGGGAATAATATATGAGAAATACCAGATACCATCAAATGTCCAAATGTCCAGATAATTGGTATCCCAGAAGGCGAAGAGACTCATAAGGGCATTGGTAATCTATTCTATGAAATCCTGCAAGAAAATTTTCCAAACCTAGAGAAGCACTCAAAGATTTAGTCCCAAGAAATACAACGGACCCCAAATAGAATCAACCCAAGAAGATTGTCTCCAAGACACATTATAGCCAGACCAAAACCACAGACAAAGACAAGATACTAAGATTGGCAAAAGAAAAACAAGTTACCTAAAAAGGATATCCCATCAGGCTAACAGCAGACCTCTCATCAGAAACAATGTGAGTGAGGAAAGAATGGGAAAATATATTCTAAGTGTTAAGGGAAAAGCAATTTCAACCAAGAATACTTTACCCAGCAAGATTATCCTTCATATGGGAAGAAAAGACACGAACATTCTCAGATAAACAAAACCTGAAAGAATTTACCAGCGCCAGACAAGATCTCCAAGAAGTTCTCAAGGGAGTGCTATACCAGGAAAATTAAATTCAGACACACAGAAATAAGAATTCAAAAACTAAGAAAATAGCCAACTTAATCATAGGGACAAGTCTGGAGTTGAATATTATATCTAGAATTCAGTCAGGAAGATCGAACCACAACAGAAGATCGTTTAAGTACATGAGATTGAACTGGTGAAACAGTATTTTATGACTTTTGACTAAAATATTGCTGATTTTCTTCTAGACTCTGTTGTCCAGCGTTAAGGATTTTTGTCTCGTCTTGAGCTGCCGATAGGTTCATGTACCTACTATTTGAACAGAATCCTAATCTGTTTCCTGGCTTTAAGTTTTAAGCAAAGTTCCTTAGCATTTCTTTGATTTATTAAAGTTAAAACTGCTTTTCTTGAAATTATCACCTGAATTTGCTATTGACAGTAGTTAGATTATTTAAGAAATTGTGTCATCAATAAAATGGGGGTGAGGAGAGGAATGGAAGACAACTGTAGATACCAGAGATAGTGTGAGAAGAGGGTGGGAAGGGGCAGAGGGTCAGAAATAGGGGTTAAAAAATGTGTGTGTGTATATATATATTTTTATATGAAACTAGAAATAGAAAATTATTGATGATAACATGCATGATTAAGCCACTATGCAATATATCCTGAATGGGAAATCACATTTTGTATGTAGTGGCTGTGACGATGCTTAGGGAATGAATGTAAATTAATTAAGTTAAAAAAAATGTTTTAGGAAAAAAAAAAACTATGAGAACTGTTTTTCTAGAAATTAAAAAAATGCATTAAAAATACCTATTTGATGACTGCAGTAAGCTATAAAAAAAGGCATAATAAAACACTAACAGTAGAATCTAGGGAGTGAGTATATGGGTGTTCACTATAAAATTATTTTTGATTCTGCTGTATGCTCAAATTTTTTCATAATAAAACAATGGGGGAAAAGGTTAAATATAATTTATCTTCTTAAAAGTCTTCTTTTTTTTCTTTAGAGGTTTTTGCTATAGGGAGTATGCACTCGCCAGAATGACAGAGAGAGACAGAAAAACAGAAAGTGAGAAATCACCCCCCAGGGTGGGTGGCCACGCTGCAATCCCTTCTCCTCCATTCTCCTCTCGGAATCTTGGGCACTCATGCACATGCGCCCGGCATAAGTTTAAGCCACCAGGTCCGGGACCTGAACCACGGTCGATCACATGGGAGTCCAGAAACATAGCCATTATGCCCTGTGCTGGTCCCAAAAAGTCTTATTTTCTTTTAAAGTATTTTAAAAAATTATAATTTCTTTCTATTCCTCAGTAATATCCCTTTGTTTTGCTATGAGTCCATCCTACAAATAACAAAGCCTCAGCATATTGAATTTTTTGGAGAGATTTTTGCTATACGGCATGTGCACTTGCCAGAGAGACAGAGAGAAAGAAAGCGAGAAATCAGCCCCCTGAGGGGATGGCCATGCCACAATCTCTTCTCCATTCTACTCTCAGGATTTTGGGCACATGCACATGCACCTGGCATGAGTTTTAAGTCATCGGGTCTAGGACTTGATACACTATGTGGGAGTCCAGCGACATAACACCATCTGCTGGTCCCAACATACTAAATTTTTATTGATGCAAAAAAAAAAAAAATGAAATTGAAAACCAAATTAATTTGACATTTTAGGCTAAGCATAATAATTATTACCCTGTCTTGTGATTATTATTAGTTATAAATGACTACAATTAGTGCTAATTTTTAAAAATTTGAAGAAGCTTTTCTTTGGAAAGTTCTTCTCTTGTCTTCAGAAGCAATGTGACAACTAGTCTGGTAAGATTTAATCCTTACACATACACCAATATTCATATATAATGACAAGGTACACTCCCCACTCCCACCCCCCCACACACACACTCACTCCTACAGAGTAGAATGTGCTTCCTCCCGGGGCTCTTCACTCATTTCTCCTCTATAACAACCTCCTCAATCTAAGAACCCTTAAATAATAGATCCAGTGCTCCTAATCTTAGTTAAGGGTCTATGAGACTTTCAGGCAATAGGATCACCAAGAAAAAGGGCTCTAGCTAGCTTAACAAGCAGACATAGTTCAACAAACATTTAGTGAGCCCCAACCCAATGCCACATGTTAGGGACAAAATCCCCACCCATGACCATGCCTTATAGCCCCTGTCCTCAGGGGGTCTGGTGAAGAATACTAGAAAATAGTTAATTTTCATATCACATTAATATAATTCTGACCAAAAGTCAAAGCAGAGGGGAGTCCTGGAGAAACAGAAGAGACACATACTAGCTGGTATCTACTGAGTATCTACTAAGCCTGGAACCGTGCTAAGTCTTTTATGTGCTATTTTAATAAATTCTCACCACATCCCTATAAAGTGGATATTGTGCCAATTTTACCAGATAAGGAAAGAAGTTCAAAGAAGTTAAATAATTCATATAAGATCAGAAAGCTAATATGAGGCAGAATAAGGATTCAAACCCAGGTTAAAGTAACTCTCAAATTCAAGCTCTTTTCATAATATACAGATATGGTATGGTAGAGACAATGGCTAGGAATAATGGTTGAGGGTGGGGAATAACATTTTGAAATTAGTTATACTTCAATGAAACAATTTTGAAAGCTTCTGTTTTTGAAGTGGGAGAGCAAGAGGGTTTTGGTATCAAAGAGAAAAAGAAATTACCCATGCCTGGTCTAGACCTGTACTCTAGGTTAAGGAAGACAGAACCCACATGGTTGACCATAATTCAAATCCTGGTCCTGGCAGCTTCAAGAAACATGTCAAGCACAAATCCCAATAGGATGGTGAAATGAAGGACAAGGGATTCTGGTGTGAACGCACCCCATAAGGGCTACTTTCTCTGTCTCTGGAGAACACAAACGCCCTCTAGCAATTAAAATGATAATAATAATAAGACATTTTAGGAACATTCATGTATCAATGTATATGAATAAGAATTATATTTTAGTGAAACATTTACTAAGGCCCTCTATGTTTTAGGCACTATATCTGAAGCTGGAACATAAATTTACAGGCTAAAATAATGGCAAAGGTTTATGGCTAGTGATATCTATGATTCAATTGTCATTGAATTTAGGGTTGGGAACACGATCTCCAAATATAAACTGTTTGTATGGAAAACATAGTCCTATTTTTGGATAAGAAGTATGAAACAAAGATTCACTGACAGATTAGTGGGGAGGAAAAAGCAATGTATACAGGAGTCCAAAGCTCTGGTTTAAGCTTTAGCTCTTCACATATGCTAGCTAGATAAGGTAAGTCATCTAACACTGCTGAATTGCAGCAATAAAATTAGGTGATGATAATAACTTTGACAATGAAGAGAGAATCAAAGGATTATTTTGAGCAAGCGTTTTCAAGACAACAAAAGCGCCTCACAAATTAGATGCAGCATAAAATAATAATATCTACTTTCTAGGATTGTGCTGGGGATTATGTGAAATAATTAAAACACAGCACAAGGGTTGGAATGTAATAAGCTCTCCATGAATGTTAACTATGATTATATAACTGCTTTTTTAAGACACTGGCATAGGACATAAAGTGACAGACATCATAAAGTTACCCTACATGTGTTTGAATGAACATTAAAAAGAAACAAAGAAAGAACACTCAAGCACTTTAAAAATCATAGCTCCCTGCTAAAAAGAGCTGTACCTTATTGAAGAGCCAGTATAGCACAGACGTTAAGAGTATAGACTCTGGAGCCAAACTGTCCAAATTTGCATCCTGGTTCTACCACTTAAGGTACTATCTGGTTCAGATTAGTTCATCTCTGTGCCTCAATTTCCTCATCTGTAAAAGAAAGATAAAAGTACTCAGTTCATGAGGACATATGGAAAATGCTACCTGGCATAAAGTGATGACAACATAATGTTTATAGTATTAGCATTACCACTCCAGAGATCTTCAGATTGGACAGAACACAAAAATAAATACAACAGATAAAAAGAGGGACAACCAATAGCATGTTGGTTAAGGCAGCTGGATCCCACATGGTCAACAGCATGGTTCCAATTCCGAACCTGGTGACTTGAAAAGCACGCTGGGTACAAGAGCCTGCATGTTCAAAATCCTGAGAGAACGGAGAAGAGACTGCAGCATGGCCATCCCACCTGGGGTGTGCCTTCTCACTTTTCCTCTTTCTGTCACTCTCCGGAGAGTGCATGCACCCTACTACAAACTTTATAAAAAAAAGCAGAAAGAGCAACATTCCAACATCCCAAGGCAGTATGCTACCAACAAAATAGAGAGTTCTAGAAATTCATCCAGCTTCTAGCAATGTAGCTTATGGCTTCAACTGTCTTAGCCGTAATATAAGGAAAATTATACCGACCTTCAAAGTTATTGTGAAGATTAAATAGTACTATAAACACACAACATACAGTGTGACACATAAAAGGTTCTCAATAAGTAAGTTATTATTATTTTCCCCCTCTCTCCTTTGGCCATTACTGGCATAAAAATTTCCCAATAATTATTTTAATAAGTGTAAAGGACTTCCTGGTTTCCAGCTGAAAAGATATTTTACAGAACTTTTTTTTTTTTTTTTGAGAGCTTTTTTGCTACAGGGCACGTGAGCTTGCAGGAGAGACTGGGACAGACAAAAAGTAAGAAATCACCCCCATGGAGGGATGGCCACACTGAAATCCTTTCTCCTCTATTCTGCTCTCCGGAGTTTGGGCATGCACACACACATACCTGGTGTGAGTTTCAAGTCGACGGATCCAGGACTTGAACCGTGGTGGGCCATGTGGGAGTCCAGTGACATAACCATTATATCATCTGCTGGTCCCACGTCACTTGTTTTTAAAGAATTGGTCATCTCCAAGTCAAAAGAAAAAAATGAGTGACTGTAAAATAATGCCCTTTCATATATGCTGCTGAGTTTGATGATATCTTGGGAAAGCAGGTTTGAACAGTATTGGCAGAACCTTGGAAGGGCCCTGAGAAGTCTCACTTTTTTCTTTAAACCACTTAACTCTGGGCTCTGTCATGGGCAAGACCTTCTATTTTTGATTCTTCAGAAGAGTGATCAGTAAGACAGATACTGCCAAAAGTGTTTGCCGAATTAATGAGAAAGTCACAAAACCTTAAGAGGGATACAGTGGGGTCCACAGGTGGCATGGTAGTTAAGGCACTGGAATCCCACATGCCACAGACAATGGCTCGAGTTCCAGACCTATTGGCTTGCTTTCTCTCTCTTTCTCTGGTGAGCACACATGCCCCATAGCAAATTTAAAATAATAATCCTTTAAAAAAGAAAAGAGAGATTTAATGTATCTTTTAGAACCCTTCCAAACTGAAGATTCACAACTCCAACATTTACTTTAGTTTTCTATGACATTCTTGAAGGACCTGGTTTCTCACTAGTGAACACGGTTCTCTACCTTTTCCCTGGTATATGTACCACTTTTTACATTATGTAATTTGGGATGCATGTTAAGGCTTCGAGTATTTTAGTATCATCTGTTTAGGCCTTTGGAGAACACACTGTACAGGCCAGCTGGAGGCATGGTGGTTAATGTGGTTGGATCCCACATAGCTGGCTGCATGGTTCCAGTCCCATATCCAGGGGCTCAAGAAAGATGTTAGGCATGTATGCATGCATGCCCAAAATCCTGAAAGGAGAAAGAAATGGAGAAAGATTGCAGTGTGATCATGCCCCATTTGGGTTGCTGTCTCACTTTCACTGTCTCCCTCAGTCAAGCACATAGCCCTCTGGCAAATTAAAAAAAAAAGAAAAAAAGAAAAGAAAAGGGAAAGAACGAGAGAAAGAGAAAGAAAACAGTGTAAAATGGAACTGAGGGCAAGGACCCTGGTTACTTCCAAAAAGATTAATTTAAAATTTCAAAAATATGATACATATTTATTCTATCCATGTTTAAAAATACTTTTAACCCACTATTTGTGGGAGAAAAAACCTTTTCTATTGATATTTCTTTTACACAACTGAATCATACTGAGCAAGGGAAGACAACCTGGTATTAATTATATAGTTAAAGAAATGTTCAAGAAAATATCCTTTAGAGTTTAAATGTAAGTATGAAAGGCACAGATAACACTGATGGATAATCCTTAATAAAACACAAATTCTCTCAAAATAGCTGTCACCATGTGCCTCATTCTGGACAGGACAAATTACCAAAACAGCTGAATATGAAAAGCTTCAAGTTCAAATGGCCTCCTACTAAATTCGCTTCCATTCATGGTAAAATACTAAAAGTAATTAAGTCACTTCCACACCAAATAGAAGTCCACAGAAATCTGAGGTTTATTTTATTTTTTTCTTTTTCTAAATAAAAAAAGGCCCTCGTAGACAAGAGACTTTTTTCCTAGCAGTGACAAGATGGGCAGGGAACGGGGCCAGCGGGGCAGGTTCAAGGCCTTTGGGCAGGGCAGAGGGGCGGTAACACTGAGTCATCTAGGACCGGGAGCAGCCTTGTGACCAGGCTTCCTGGCCCGTCCACAAACCGGAACGCAGGCGGTTGGCTTTCATCGCGAAGGAGAAAGTACAAGCGCATCCCGAACTCAGGACCAGCGGACCAAAACGCTGCGACCCTGGGGCCGGAAGGCTAAAGCGCGGCGCGTCCTCAGGGCACGTCAAGCCCTGGCCCGACTCCCGCGACCCTCACCCGCTCCCCACCGCGTAGGTGCGGACACTCGCGGGCAGCC